TATAATCTATAGATCCTCATTTAGATATGGAATTTAGTTACAAGAGAGTAAATTAACAATTTACTGATTGTATCAGGGCTGTCGGGAGGAATTTCTGGCCAGAGGAGTCGGAGTCAGAAAAAATGTGTCAACTCCAATTCTTGAAAGAAAATTTAATTATATATTTATTCATTTTTTAAAATGTTATTGTATTTTGTTATAATTCATTTATTTTAAATACAAAATGCATCAATTTAATTTATTAAATATGTTGTTTTCTTTGTAGTATTAATGTTTAGTAGTTAAATTATTTTGACCCGAATTGAATTAGAATATTTTTGAATCATTCCTTTATTATCCCTGCTCTAAATAAGTCCTCTATTTTTCTGAATGAACCAGACTAATTGATCAGAGTACATATTTTTCTTTTCTGAACAAGGGTCTGAAGTAGCTAGCCAGATCGCACACTTTTTAGTTGGACTAACTCTTCTGGAAGGGTGAAATTGAAGTGCAAATGCTGTTGAATATATGTAGAGGTAGAATTTTATCACACCCTTTCTCCTCTTATTAAATATTGGTTAAAAATCAATTTTTTTATACAAATAAATATTAATGTAAGCAAATATGTAATCAATTTGCTGGATACGATTGTGGTTAATATTAATGTAAGTTAAATATTAAAAATACTTTTTAGTATTTTTATATTTAATATTTATTTGAGTGTCCCTATGAGTGCCTCTGCCTCTCATAAAATGACTTGGTATTTAATTTTGCCACAGTCGGTGTCGAGTGTTTTTTTACTGACTCCGCAGCCCTGGATTGTATAACACTTATTAACTATTTATCAGGTCAGTCCATAAGTTGTGTGTATTTTATGATCTTGAGAAAAATCTTGTTTTGCTGTTAAAAATGCCGTCTAATGTGATACTTTTTACACTGAAGTGTTAAATTGGATCTCATTCATATAATACTGTTCAGAATTGGGTACATTTCAGTTGTTTATTTTCGTTAAAATGGAAGTAACAGATGAATATAAGAGACGTGTTTTATACTTTTTATTTTTAAGTGATGAGAATGCTACAAATGCAGCCAAAAAATTAAATACTGTTCATAATCAAACTGTAATTAGTGTAAGGACTGCGCAGAAGTGGTTTGAAAGATTTAGAAATAATGATTTTAGTGTGGAGGATAAGGCTCGTACTGGAAGACCCGTTGACTTTGATGATGATGCTCTCTCTGCACTAGTTGAAGCAGAACCATCTTTAACAGTTGATGAAATTGCGGAACGTTTAAATTCATCCCATGGAACTGTTCATAGACATCTACAACAAATCGGAAAAGTTTCAAAGCTAGGAAAATGGATACCACATGAACTGTCAATAGCTAACTGACAACAACGTCAACTGCTCAACTCAAAAGCTTCAACTGGGAAATTTTACCTCATCCACCATATTTGCCAGATATTGCTCCCAGTGATTATCATCTTTTTCGGAGTTTGCAGAATTTTTTAAAAGGAAAAACTTTTGAGGATGAGAACAATGTAAAAAAGGCTATTTCTGAATATTTTGATTCAAAACCGAAATCATTTTACAAAGACGGGATTAAAAAGCTACCATCAAGATGGCAAGAAATTGTACAAAATAATGGTGAATACATTATAGATTGAAATAAAATTTAGTTAAAATTTTTTGTTGCTTTTTTTATAGATAAAAATGCGCATGAACTTATGGACTGACCTGATAGAAACTTCTAAATTTTTTAAATCAGCTATTGAAGAAACATATATTATATTATTATTGAAAAATAAAGTTAAAAATTGATTTAATGAATTTTTGTAAAATAATAAATATAGTGGATATGCTTTTATATCAGTATCTATAATTTTTCCTGAATATTTTTTCAAAAGCAAATGCAATATGATTATATTTTTAAAATCGGTACTTAATTGAATATATCTTTAGAATACATCTAGTTTGAAATAATTTCTTATTATAATTGGAAAATAAAATGCAGAGTATGTTTTGTTAATGCAGTGGGCATTAGATAGTGAAGTCCAGGTAGATTGGAAGAACCCTTTAATTTTAAAAAGATGGGCTGAAAAATAATCTGAGTAATAGAGCAATACTATATAAATATTTTAGCTTTAGATAATTAATGCCCATGATTCTGTAACATTGGACAGTAGATGAGCAGATATATCAAAGACATTTAATACTATATTTCTAGTAAATAAGTTACATGATAAGTTTAATTAAAAATATCAACATATAATCCCATAGGAGTTTTAATATTAAAGTTGTGTTGATGTTATAATGTAATATTTTAATAATATAATTTCTTATGGTTAAGTTAAAAAATTTAAAGTTTGAGATGATTCAGTATTTCAAGCTTACAAATGAACTATATTCAGATTTGAATGTGGAAGAAATTCAGATTTAAAATTATTTGATATAGCATGCTTGATAACAAACTATATTCTATTTTTAAAGTTGAGCTGAAAGTGTTCTTGTAAGAGAATGTAAACATTTAATAGTAAAAGTTATGCTTCCCGAAATAATTCAAACATTCTAAATATAAGACTAGTGAAGAACTTTAATTAAATGTGTTAAATTCCCGAAATAGAGAGTTAAGTCCTCTGTAATCTGGACTGTTATGTAACACTAAACACAGCATGTAATTGTTTTAATTTTATGTTACTGGACAGTCCTTAGGTTTTTTGTCGTGTGTTCAGATGAGTTGAGGTGTAAAGATAACTGCTTATTTCAGGAACTCAGAGTTCCCGAAATAAGCAGCAGTTATCTTTTATTCTTTCAATCACCATAACAGTGTATTTCTATTAATAGGACTTATCATACTGGTGTATAAGATTACAGCAACACAGTCACACAGATTAAAATTGTTTTATTTACAATTACCTGAACACATACAAATTGCGTTTCGGACCTGTATGTCCCTCTTCAGCAGGTATTTAACAAACAAATTCTAAATAAATAAAATTCATATAATAAGCAAACTAATTTACCGACAATATTTTTAAAAAATTTTTATGCCTACGATAATAAATAAAAAAATATTGTCAGTAAATTAGTTTGCTTATTGTATGAATTTTATTTATTTAGAATTTGTTTGTTAAATACCTGCTGAAGAGGGACATACAGGTCCGAAACGCAATTTGTATGTGTCCAGGTAATTGTAAATAAAACAATTTTAATCTGTGTGACTGTGTTGCTATAATCTTATACACCAGTATGATAAGTCCTATTAATAGAAATACACTGTTATGGTGATTGAAAGAATAACTTGTTTAAATTAAGGACATTGATGCATATTAATTAAAGCAGTTATCTTTATTAATATGGTGCTGAGCTTGCATATTTATGATAATTTCTTTACCTTTTTTTAACTTTGTATAGAATTTAAAATCCAGATAAGAGTGTATTGAGTTGGATAATTTAAGTTAATTTAAAATTTATATAATTGAGTACTTTTTTCTAGTTTTATTAATAATGGAGTGATTTTCTTTCAAAAAATAATCAATAAATATATGGATTAAAGCCAGATTATATTGGGCTATATTACTACTACTATTATTAATTAAATTCTAAGTAACCAAGTATGGTTCTATCTAAATTAATAAGTTCTGTAGATGAGGATTGAATGAAGGTCAGGGTAGCGTAACTGGCAATATGACTGCATGGTAAGTGGGAGTTGCAGGTTCAAATGCCACTTTGGTCCAATTCTTTTCTTCCAGAACCTTCTAAATTAATTATTAAAATATTAATTTAATTATAATTATTAAATTTAGCAAGAGATAGTGCCTAATCCCTGCCTCTAGTGCCAAATTACTTAAAATTTAATTAATAATGATAATAATAATATAGCCCCCAATATAATTCAGAATCATTTAGCTTTAATATATAACTATTGGATTTGGATGTTTATATTCTGATGTATGATATTTTATTGATTTATTATTTAAAACAATATTTTTACACAGTAATGTAATTTAAAGTGGAATTTTGGATTTAAAACACAGATAATCAAATATCTTACTCAGCTTCTTAAATAATAAATCATCCAACACCTGATGCTGAAACATTCTTTTAATAAGTGTTTTCTCAGCATCAGGTGNTGTTAACTCCCCAGAATTAAACATTACTTTAGGATCAAAACATTCTTTTAATAAGTGTTTTCTCAGCATCAGGTGTTGGATGATTTATTAAAACACAGCATTATTTTAGAATTATAATATATTGACTGTAGATAAAAAAAATCAATTATCATTTAAATTGATTAGGAAATATATTTTATTTATAATTCAACAGTGTTCTGCAAGTAAACTTTAGAAAACTTTATTTGTACAACAATTATTTCATTAATTATAAAATATTAAGGAATAAAATATATCTTTCAAGAAGCTGTTTGAAGTCTTATTTACATCTATCATAACAAATGCAGAAGAAATGGTTAGTATAATGAACAAATATATCAAATAAATCTATTAGAAGTTAGAAGAATCACACAGTATATCCAAGGCATATAAAATATTTCTATGATATACTTATATAATATGTGATATAATTGCTTTGTATACTTGTATATGAAACAAATATATTTTCAAAGTTTTTGTGATACTGATTAGAGAAATCATTCAAAGGATGTTTTTATGTTAGCTTGGCTCAAAATACTAATAAATTGTGATTTAAGCAGTTGAAGCTGAATGTATGCCATTTAGCCATATTATCAAAGAAACTTTATGGCATTTATGACTTTTACAGAGCTTTATACTGATGATCAAAATATTAAACAATTATGCATGAATATGGAAGTCCTAGTAGAAATAATAATTTTAAAATAGTATTAAGGTCATAGAGGCATGATTGATTAATTATGCATATGTTGTGACAAATTTTTCAAATTTCATGAGAAAACATAAATTTTTTTATTTTATGATCTTAATGTACTGTGCTTAATATTGATTATTAATAAACAGATAAACATGAACTAGAAAATAATTTCAATGAAAATATACCACAGAATGTAGATTTTATTAATGAAATTGAAGATTTACAAATCAAGTAAGTTACTATATATTTTTTACCAGTAATTATTTAATCATGTATGTTAATATAATTTTAAAATAAATAAAACAAAAATTATTTAATAATGAAATTATTAAATTTTCATATAAAATTATGTGCAAAAATGAGCTTTGATATAATAATAAAAATTTTCATTTTCAAAATTAGCAAAATATATTACAACAAAAGCATAAACTGTCATTGTGAGTGCATTCTTCTAAACAAAAATTCTTTCCAAATATAGCAAATCATCTTAATCTTAGATTTTAATGACACGATTAAATGTTTTTTTAATCAAAAAAGTCAAGAAAAACATTTATGTTAGCAATGCCTATCATTTCTGGTTCTGAATTTATCAATAAAATATCAAGGCTTCTTTAAAAGAATAAAAAAACTATAGTAAAATATATTCATGATATTTATTAAACATCTGTAATAATTGTACTGTATACAAAATTTATGGTAATTTTCAGATATTAGTAAAATGCTTAATCTAGGCTTATGACAGCATTTGAATCTCTTGACTAGAACTATTTACTTTGCAGTTTGAAATCAAGTTATCAATATAAAGAAATTTCAGAAAATGCAGCAATTCTTGATAAGTTCACTGTCTAAATAGTGAATATAATAAATCATATCAATTTGTTATGTATGTACTCAGATGAACTGTAAACACAAATGGAACCAAACTGTAAAAATTATTCATCAAAAACCACAGAATATAAAGCCTTATTTAGACAAATTGTTATTACAAATACTATCAAATACAATTTACAAAAAACATAGTTAACCAGAACTAATGAACCAGGCTTATTATACTCCTACAAGCATTTTGGAAAGTGTTAATTAAATATGCCAGTAGTATAATAAGCCTGGCTTTTTAGTTCTGGTCAACTATGTTTTTTTGTAAATTAGTATTACAGGTAAGAAACCTTTTAATATACTCTCAAATACAGTTTTAAAGGACAAAATACTAAATTTATTTTGGATAAGGCAATTCTCTGTACATGATAATTAATCATAATAAGTCAGACATTATAATTAAAAATATAAAATAGCATATCAGTTATCTGTATTAATGAACAGCAATAGAAACTATGAAACTAGAATAATGAACAGCAGTAGAAACTATTATCTTTACAAGGTTGGGACCAAGGTCATGACAGATATGAGAATAGACTGATAATAGAACTCCCTTTACTAATACAGAAAAATTCATTTACAAAACAATTAATGCACAATCCTTATATTCACAGTATTGTACAATCAACCAATTCTTTATTTATTGTACAGAGCAGTATTTATATGTATGCAGTACCAGCATATAGTACAGAAATAAGTCTGCATACAGAATGTACTATACTATACTTCATTATGTCAATAACAAATATTAAAATAATAATAATAACTCTACTCTCCAAAACTGACTTTAGCATTCTGACAGTTAACAGAGAGTGACAGATAATTGAATCTTTCTTGTATATCATATACATTACAGATTTTTGTATTGAAATCAAATGCTTAGCAATAAATGAACAATGTCACTAGAGTAATTATTATTATTATGGAAAATTCTAGGGATACTGCCTGTTGTGACATAAAATCCTCCATTTTCAACAAATAGTAAAGTTTAGTTTTTGCACATCACAGTGTTAACTCCCCAGAATTAAACATTACTTTAGGATCATTTACAGAGGCAGATCTGATCACTCCATGTGCCAATAACTGCTAATATACACAATAAGAAAATACAATAAAATATGAGGGGAAAAAATGTTAAACAATTTTTAATAACAACAGTGAAAAAATCAAACAACAAGGTTATTATTTCATAACTAATTTAACAAATTTTCCAAATAATGATTAGTTTTCAACAAGAAATGTGTGTACAAAAACATTAGTATAGTGTAACAAAATATAACATTGCTAGAATATACCATGGTCCACCACTCCACTCCCATTTGCTTATATCCATTTGAAAAAGTAAAATTATAGTTGCTGCCTACTTCATTTACATGTTTTTGCCTGAACATTTTTTTCTGTTTCCCTTCTTGACAGTAAACTTCCTAGAAGTAACAAATTGCTTAAAGCTTATTTAGATAATGATCATAATGATTAAATAGTAATTTGGCTATTCATTTCTAACATCATATTGCCATATGATTAATAGTGTTCTCAAGGAAGATAGACAGCAATGGTAAAATACTTTTTTACCATGCTGTCTATCTTCCCTTTTTTCCCATGGTTGGGAGTATGAACATTGTCCAAAACTGAACAAAATCTTCAAATAAATGCAACAAAACAAAATAAATAAAAACAGAGTAAGTTCCTTTTCTTAGAAGGTGTATTTTAGTAATATTAGATGAGTTGATTTATGGTTAGTAAAAATTAGTTTTTTCGGGTAAATTTTTGTTAATCTGTCATTGTTTCCTGTATACATTTCTTGTTAAATACTAATTATTGTTTAAGAACTTGTTGATATATTAATCATAATCAGCCATTTTTATTTAATTTCTCACTCTTGTTTGTTAACAATTAATTGTTTTCTTATATATTAGTTGTTATTTATTGATTCTTTGTTATCACTCCACATTGTGATCAAATCTGTCAGTTTAGTTCTGGGGAATTAACAATGTGTTACATGAAAACTAAACTTTAAAGTAGATATAATAAGAAATTTCTTAAATTAATATATGGCACAACACATATTGTATATTAAAATACAAAGACAAAAAAAATATCAAAGACATTTATTTTTATTTGCTGTGATTCATAAATTCTATATTGATGTAACTTATCAACATTTTGTAATAAACGTTTCTATTCATTAACTAAATTTGAATTTAGAACTATTGTATAATGTATATGGTTACCCTAATTATTTCTGTTAATCATTTGCATGTACTTTGTACATATGTAATTTCAAAAATCACAATTCTGAAATGCCTCACTAAAATTTAATTTAAAAAATTATATTTTGTTTTTATATTAAAATAGACTTTATTTTTTAATTCATAGCAATTTACATCCACAAATATATAATGAAAATACTCCTACTGGATCAGATGATGATAGTGATTTCTTGAAAGTTCCTTTATCTCCTACCAAAAAAAAGAAATGTATTCCTAAAAAAGCAATTCTTCTACCCAAGCAACTGAAATATTCAATTAAGTATGTAAAAGTATTTATTTTGCATATTTTTATTTATCAATATTTAAAAATGTTAGAATTCCTGTAAAAATTTGTTTTGTATGTTGGATATATAGCAAAATAATATATATATATATATATAATTTTAAGTTCTAAGTTTTGGTTAGTTCTGGCACTCTGGCTAAGTCTAGCATGACTACATTAGAATTATAGTTTTATTAAATAAATATTTCTGTGAGAAGAGGAATGGATCAAGTAAATTGCTTTTTATTCATTTTTGTGGATTAAATAAATAGCATTTAAATTTAAAAAAAAATGATAAAATCATTAAATTTTATTTTTTAATTTAAATAAAAAACATACTGTTTGTTTGTCCTATTAAGGTCAAGATCACGTCTGAGGTCACCAATTGATTGCCTCCTTGACACCCTACAACTTTTGTCTATACCTTTTTCCAAAATAATGAGATCCAATTAAGATATTTTATTGTCTCAAGATAAAAAATACACCCCTGTATACCTAATAATATATTATAATAAATATAATACTGTATATATTATATAATTAGAAAAAATGCTGAAGTGAAAAGGTCTAATTTATTCTTTATTTCTATAAAGAATAAATTAGACCTTTCCACTTTGGCATTAGGCCTAGCCACAAATCGCTAAAAATGAATGATACTCTTTTGAAAAGAAGGATTACGTGTCCTTTTCATCCACCTGATGAAAAGTATCCATTCTTTATCATTAACATCACTTCATTACAAAAATCTGAATTGATTTTTGTAATGAAATCCAAACTGAAACAATCAGAATGACAGATTGTATTGCCAACATTTTTGATTGGTCAGTTACAAATTATGTCACCAATTACGTCATTATGACATCAAAGTGTATCCAGTGAAATGAGAATAATTTTTATGACATACTCTACCAAAATAAATGAAAATGTATCTAAAAAATTGAGAGTTCAGTTAGGTCGCATAAAAATATAAAGTGGGCTGCACTCCACGGGCTAGACATCCCTGTTCTAAACTGTTTCAAATGAGATAAAAACTGAAATTTGAGTAAATATGTTTATATTTTAATGTTAAAAAATCTTTATATATTTTATAATAAATCTATAAATTTTAAAACATGTTGTGTCCAAATATAATTTATGGTGCAGCATGGCCAAAATGGTGTTGCATCAATAAAATGTAATCAACTAACCAAATATATTTCAAAATGAGGTTTTGCTCAGCATTGAGATTTTACAGGCTAATAATAATTTTCAAGATAAAAGTTTTGATAATTTAAAATTCATTTTTTGATTTTTTAGTTAGTTTTAATCATTAATTATTATGAATTCATCAAATTATGCAGATGAGTTTTAGTAAATTATTATTATTAGGTTGTACGGAAAGTAAGTTCGTTTTTTTTACCACTAGACGGATTAGTCGTATTTTTCCCGCCATTTTCATTCTAAACCGTATTATCATTATATATTTTGACAGCTAGCATTTTAAGGCTTATTTGTAAAAAATTTTGTTTGATTTTGTGCAATTGTTTATTTTTTGTGTCCCATCAAATATGGAAGATCAAAAGCAGTATTTTCAGCATATTTTGCTCTTTTATTACCAAAAAGGTAAGAATGCTGTTCAAGCAAGAAAAAAATTGTGTGACGTGTATGGAGAAGATGTATTGACAGAATGACAGTGCCAAAACTGGTTTACAAAATTTCATTCTGGCAATTTCAATATTGAAGATGCACCACGTTC